GCAGTTCACAACCAGTCAACTTAACGAATATACACGTCAATACATACTCACAGCCAATATTCACATGCAATGCACTTCCCGATGAGCGTTTAACACCTTCCTGATGGGTCAGCAGTTCATCCTTCAGTCATCTTCATGCATAATTTTTTCACCGAGTCTGATTTTTTCTGTTTACATCATCCGGCTGTCGCCACTGGACGGCTTTGGCGATAACGGTCGATGCGGTCCACTCCACGCCGACGCTTAATCCGCTGCAAGGTACACGTCTCAAGGTGACCTTCATAATCCCACGGGACCCTTGCTGGAGTAGGGCTCCTCGGCGGCCGCCCAGCAGAATGTGTCATAGCCATAGTCTTCGCCGCAGGAGAGGCAAGGGAGCTCACACCTTCCAAATTACAAGCTTTCGCGACATTAAACATTATGGGTGTGAGGATTGCACGAAAGGCAACATCTTTCAAAACCTCGACGTTCCCAAATCGCTGCCTGGTGGCGGAGTGCATGCAGTCAGTAGCGAGAGCGGCACACTGCAACATCACAGAAGAGCGTGTTGTCATGGTGACCAGCGGTGAAAAGTGCGCTTCTGTTACCGACGAAATTTGGAACGATGCAAATTGTCATCTGGAGCCAAATCTTTTAGAAATCGTTGCAGTAAAACTCTAAAGGCGATACACCGCAAAAAAGAAGACAAATGAAATGTGATGTGGCGTAATCATCAAACATTTTTGTTCCAGGAGTCCATTTGCATTCATTTGCTGGCCATCACACAGTGGGTGATGGTTGAGGCTAAACTAATGAAAATATTAGACAAAGGCATACCTTACATAACCAGCCCAGAGACGTGCAGTTTCCTATGCAGTTGGGGAGGGGGGGGGGGGGGCGGTTGTACTCCTAATCATGGATATAGTGTCCCACTTAAGCTCCAATCTGTAATGCGTTTTTTCATTTATCATACTTTTTGAGAGTTGAGGCCCAAAAAACCTTAATTTGAGAAACTACACGCCTGCTCCCAACTCGAAAAAGTGTTGAATCTGGGGAGAAAACCTTTTTCAGTGCATTTGGGAGTCAGGATCAGCATTTTTCCTGCGTTCCCACCCCTCCCTCAGCCCCACGTATTTTGCAAAACTGCATCCCTTCAGCATCCCATTCCTGTAGCATCCAAAACTGCATCCCATTCTCTACAGTTACTGGTAATATGCTTCTACAAGAACCTGAAACAATAACACTTTTGATTTTGTGACGTCATCGCACAATCAGCTAGGAGCGTTGGCGATCTTCACTATCTCTGCATAATGATTACTGGTGCTGAACTCGCACTTCCTGCCATGATCCCAACTAATTAGCACGAAACCCATGCAATATCTGTATCACCGGATCTAACGACATTTTGAACATCTCTGACACCTTTTCAAGCTTTGCATGCAACATTATGAAAATTACAAGTGTTTTGTCCCACGCCTACCCACCGACGAGTACGCGAATTCTGGTTTGCAATGGCCGGAGTGAGAGGCCTGCACCAGCGATGCTTGGCCTCTTACCTCACAGTCGCTTCTCCTCTCAGAAGCAGGAAGCTCCGTGTGAAGTTTTGACATGTCGCTCCAACATCCTCGGTTTACCTTTGAGGCTACAGTTCACGTATCTACAAACAAGTCTCCTAGAATGGCAGGGCTAATACAATGGCACCCTTCAAGGTAGATCCTCAGAAACGTCGCGCAATACCTTAAAGACTGACGGTCAGCAAGGTTCTTCTACCCAATCAGCTTCTCACGATATAAGCACAATCAACAGCAGCTTACGGCCTCGCACTGCACCCAATTCATTACCGCGCCGCGAGCACTCGAGCCCATCTGTCTCAAATGGCACGATGCTTTAAAACGCTGCGTAGCAAGCTGATCACGCCCGTCGCAAGATGCTATGGCCAGCCACGATTCTTACTAGTAATAAGTAGTACATATTAGTATAAAGTAACAACTAATATTGGCGACTGGTAATAAGCCTAGTGATTTGGTATTTTGTTCTGTTTAGTATCTTAAGGGATTCTTGGCTGAAAATCGGTGAAAAGTGATATGTGACGTCAGTACTGATGTATAGTCTGTAGCACATTTCTGCCACCCACTTAAACTTAACCTGATTAAAACTACTATGCTTGGTATGTATATTTGGTTTTTATGTTTGTATCAGCATCTTGTGGCTCAATTTGCTCATACAGCAAAACGTCAACGTTTCGACATGCGCCCTACACATGCTCTGGCTGCAAGCGTTAGCGAGTACAGACCAATACGAAGTTTTGAGTCCCTTCTTACCAGGATGGTCTGTTGTAATATCGTCTGGTCTGTTATAATTTGTTTTCGTTCTCGCGGTTTTGTCACCAACTGGCACGCAAAAGTGTCCGTTCATCGATCATATTCGGTAAATCAGAAGCTTTTTCAACCCTGCGCGGCCGTGCCAGGTCTTCGCGATGCTTGCTTACAGATCAGCGTAAATCAGTCGCTATAAGCGCTGTTCATTATCACTGAAGGCGGGGTAAAAGAATGTCTGGTAGACCAAGTCATGCTTATGACAGGTAACTTCCCAAATGCTTATTTTCTGCTGTGGTGTAGTATAAGGGAAGTTAATTCGAGAATAGATACTGTAGCAGGTGTCAAATAGACGCTTTGCACATGAAGAATAAGTGATGCTGATCCACAAACATGTAGCAAAGCAGTTATACGATCAGCTCCCAGTAAGCCATGCTGGGGACAGCCGTGGGTCAGGGCAGTGGCCTCCGACGGCGGACGGAACAGAGCGAAATAAGGAATGTCCGAAAGGAGAGCCCTTGTTCCGTGACGTGTATTTTTTCCGGTAGAAACTCCGGTTTCATAGGTTTGTCATCTTGTTTATGGCAGTTAGTATCTAAAGCTTCCGAAACGGTTCGCGCCTTAAATGTTGTGACAAAGCTTTTCTCATGAAAAATAACCGGCGGAATCTAGGCGCATGAAAATCCTGGCGCAGCATGAGCTATTGGCCCGCATTTAAGCCTGTGACCAGCTTGCACCCAGGTTGTATCTTGGCATCCACCCTGTCGAGGCAGATGCCTTCCCTGACCCAAAATGTCCACCCGCTCATGGACTTTCGCCTCCCCAGAGAAAACAATGTTGAAATAGGCGGATGGTCTCAGAAATTGGGGTATTTCTTTTTTGCCCGATGACATAAATGAGTCAATAAGCAAAATTATGCACCAATGGGGAACAGCCGTAGACGTACATCCAGCATGACAGCCAAGGCATTTGATTATTTCCAAATGTGCTATTTGAGTTAAGAGCGGACAATGTCTTCCATCTCTATTCCCCTCCCCTTCGTCTGGTTGCCGCACTTGGCTCCCAGTAAAAGTTCCTTACGTAAGACGTGAGTCCAAAACCCCAATTTTTGAAACGTTTCTAACGTCTGTGCCCTATGTGGCCCATTCTGCTGTTCGTCAAGTTGTGACGCATTCATATTCAAATTCAGCGTTGAGCACTAATTCCACCTTAAATGAGTGATCAAGTGAAACACAGCCTGCTGATAATGCAACCAGGTCCATTCTCCTCTTAGTCAAAAAGACTACCCTCCAGAGGTCAAATAACCAAGCAAGCGCGCCGTACCGCCGCTGTCTTTTGAAAACTATCGTTTGATGTCTTTAAATACGATCTGATCCGGGAACCAGCCATAAATTCCAGCTTGAGATACGGTAAAAAGCTCCAAAAGCAAGTTTTCAAGTTCAAGGGACGAGACAGCGCTTTATTGCCGCTGTACGATTTTGGATTTGGATGGATTTGTACAAATCGTTATCGTAATCGTCGTTAGAAAGCCCCTTATCAGTTCCAGCCTGGGCTTCCAAAACACCAGAATCCAAGCCAAACCCCAAGGTTAAATTGAAGGTCAAAGGGCATTCTGTTGGACGCTTTGTGAACGACGATATGAAGTCACAAATATCAAAATTACAAGCACCAAGTGTACTTATCATTTGTTGTCTGGCAATCATCAAGCTGCAAATTCGTTTTGGACAGGTTTGTTTGATTAATTTCTAGAGTTTCGTGTCCAACGACGGATAATACGAGGCAAATAGCAATGCTGCGATTGCAATATTGCAGAGAGCGTAAGACAAATTGGAAGCCAATCAAAATACTCATCGGTTTATACCGAGCTAGAACCCACATGTTGTGTATCCAGATAAATGATAAGTGCTAGGAAGCTTTTTGACAAGAGTTCTTTGCAACATCTTTTCGCGGTTAGTATGCAATTTGTAGCAGGAAATGAACGGAAACTCCATGTGGTGAGACCGACATATCATCTCTACATGCAATCCAAATTTGGTCCAGATCCGGTGGCTGTGTCTGGCCTTATTCAACTTTCGGTGCCTTCCACTGACGTTACGTTAGCGATGCGCTTAAAAGCCGAAGTGGTGCACGCGCCCCGGCCAGCCAGGCCCCGGTGGCTTGACCAGCTCCGACCCGCTCGACACCGTGACGTCATAAATTGGCGGGTCACGTGATTCATAGCGAGCGCCGCTTGCAACTCACTCGCTCCATGTTCACCACAAATGTAACCACCTGATCAGCTGAGCGGCCCCACTGCGTCTCGGGCTTTCTGTAACCCGGGCTCGTGTTAGCTCGGGGGAGGAGAGAAAGCTGCGACACCGCACGCAAACGGGCTGGGGCTAAGCCTGGCGGTGAGGAACACCTGAACGCTGCAGACAGGATCTCGGTCTGAATATCCTCACCCGACACTGGCGTAGCCCCCCGCCAGTACGCTACACATCGACCGACTTCCCCTCGCCACAGATGGCGCCTCATCTCGTCCACATCCCCACGTCAGTGGTCACATGCGTCCCGCACGTCACCGGCCCGAGCGTGCGCCGCGCCGTACCCCTGCCCGCCGCGGACCGCATCTGGGGCTCTGGCGGCCGCCGCCGCCGCTGCCGCCGCCGCCGGGCCTCAGTGACGTCACCAGGCGGGGCATTCCGGCGCGTCGGCGCTGCTGGGCGGCGCGGCCTCTGCTAGTCGGCTGGCTGACGGCCATTCGGTGACGGAGCGCGGCAGTGTGTGCAAGGGGGCAGCCGTGCGGCGACGCTAGCGTACGGCCGGCATCATGGAGGGCTCGAAACGCAACATCCCCGTCAAGATGGGCGACTTCAGCATCATCGACACGGAGTTCAGCAGCATCCGCGAACGCTTCGACGCGGAGATGCGCAAGATGGAGGATGAGATGAACAAGTTCCGCTCTGAGCTCATCAGTCGGGAGATGCCGGTGGCCCAGAGCTCTATCACGTCCAGGTACGCACGCTCAGAATCATCGATGCCCTCCACTGTTTGCTGGTACCTGGTCGGGCAGGCCGTGACCTGCTGTGACGTTTGGCCGCTATAGGTGGTGGAATATAGGGGAGACGCGTGGTTATGTGATGCCTAGAATCGCCGATTCGGGAAAAACATCGTCAATAGCTCTCAACTGCGGTATACGCTTGCCGCAGTTACGTCTCCGGTCGCTTTAAACCCGTTAACCCGAAACTTACATCAGCGATCTCGTCTGCTAGCGGGGCCGCGGCCCCAGCACGCGGTCTGGAGCACGGCCGCTGGCACGGCGCCAGGGGAGCGGCGGCGGCGGCGGGGAGGGGTGCCGCCGCCGCCGCCGCCGCCAGCGCCCCCTCTGCGGGAGTGGCCGGCCCGTCTCGGCGCGGGGAGGGTGGTGGCCAAGCGCGACCGGCGCTCGCCGGCCGCCCTCCGGCACGGGCCCGACCGAAATCGATGCGGGTCGGGCGCCACGTCACAGGGCCCGCCCCGCGCCGGCCTCGACGCTCGGTTTCCGTCGGCCTCGACGCCGGCCGACAGGGTTGGCTTCGATTTAAGCGCTGCTGGCGTTGGCTGGCAGGGCGGCCGCTGGGCGGGCCGCGCTGTCCCGTCAGGGAATCGGCCCAGGGTCGGGCGGAGGGCCGGTCGCGCGCATCAGACAGCAGGCCCGGTGTCATGTTTGTTTTTGCCCCGCTAAGCTCCTCTCCGCCCCGGCTGGGTTCTCATCGGGAGTTGGTGCAGCTCACAGTATACCCTCCACCTGAGAGGGTCACAGTACACCGTTACAGGTGTTGTTCTTTGTAACCTGATCAGGGCACGTCGACCTGCACGACTATGGGGTGACGAATGCGCAGTTTAAGCGAGACTTTTACACCGCTATTTGCCAGTCATCTGACTACAGCACGTGCGTCTGAGCCTGGGAGAAAAGTAGGCAAACCGATGGACATCGAGTCAGGCTGTTGTCCATCATGTGTCAACCCTCTCACACTGAGAAGGTAACATCGTCTATGAGGTTCTTTGAATGCGGCATCACGTTAAAGAAACATTTAGTTTCACTTCGATACGTCCTATTCACAACCTGAATACACCTTCCTATAGACATGTTAGTCATACGCTACGTCTGCATACTGTAGAAGCGTCTGCATGTGGCGTGAAAGTGTGCCTGTTGCCGAGAAATGCTTGCGTGTCATCCAGCGTGTCTACGCGAGCTCAAATCGTCCCGCCAGTGCGTTAAGCGGGCACCTGTTTGCAATGAAAACTACGCACGTCCATGAAACGCGAGGACAACTTGGCGGAATGACCATCGGAAGCAATGTGGAACACGTCACCTTTTATAAATAGATTTAGTTAGAGTTTGGTGCTCCGAAGATGACTTGAGTACGCGTCCCGTCCAATGAGAAGGTTCGGGTGTACCGCTGTGAAAGGTCGCGTTCAGGTGAGGGCTAATAAAATGCGTCCATTCCTGTATGGCTGTGTCCACTGGGAGAGGCAGGGTACAGGGGAACCCCCGAGCTCGACCACACGTCATTTTGTTCCCTTTTATTTTTCTCATAAAACGCATGTGACTCCCATTTTTCCATTTTAGATGTCACTTTGTTTTAAAGTGTGCCCCCTCTAGATTTCAGTTGCCCCGCAGAGCGTACTGTTGCCGCGGGCGTTACGTTCGACAGTGTGGGTGGAGCGCAGCGTTCTCGTGCGTTGCGTGCGGGCAGAGGGTTGTGCCGGTCGCTGTCGTGAGATGCTGGACGCCTCTTGCCGACTTCTCTAACCTGGCGTTTTTGGGGTGGATGAAGGGGGGGGAGGCGGGGGGGGGGGGCAGCCAGTCGAGTCTGGACCCGGCGACCAGAGTCGCTGACACGAACGGCACGCGATCGTGACGGACGCCGCGTGATGCTCGACAGCCGTGCCGCTCGTGCTAATGGTTAATTTGGCTAACGGCGCGCCGGCCTGTGCGCAGCCGGCAACGCTCCGTCCAGACAGATGTATATAGCTCCTATATACATACAGGAGCTATGGACACTGTTGCGAAAGGCTGGTGTATACATAATATTATTTCATGTATATTTTTCCTATATTTATATTTCTTATATATATATATAATATATATATATATATATATATATATATATATATATATATATATATACATCCGGATGTTTATGTTAAGCGTGTCTTCCACGGTCTTTCATCTGTGATCGTGTTGTATCTAATTGCCCCCAACCTAGGCAAGGAACGGCACGAACAGTGCGGTGATGTCAAGTCTCACGCGAACCAGAGTCCAGCTTCTGCCCTAGACAATAACCACCCGTGCAGTATACATGCATGTTTATGTCCTCCTCGTCGACAGACATGAGTTTGTTAGAAGGCGCGAGTAAAAAGCCCAGCAAAACTTTATTTGAAAATGCACTTTTTGGCTTTTCAAGCGTCCGATCGCGCTTCTGATTTTCTCGCGTGCGCAGTCACGCATTTGTCGTCCCACACGTCAAGCTGCGCCCCACGTGTCTGTCCACCCCTCTCTCCCACGTGTCCTACGCTCGTCATATTTTTTATCCTCCCCTCCCAATGACTACATCGATTGGGCGCGTGCCTTCGTGCCCACGATCTCACCCTTATTGGCCTCCGCTTCTCCATGCGTGTCAAGAGGCGCGATATTTACTGCCCCCTGCTAAGCCCTCCTCCAATCCCACTCACACACCTACTCGCCCCACCCCACCACACCCCCGGTCACGCGTCTGCCGTTTTGCACGCTGCCGGACCAGGACGCGGACGTCCGAGTACCACCGGTCGGTGGACGGTAAGGAGGAGGAGAGGCAGCGCGAGACGTCCGAGTTGTTCTCGCGCAGCTCGCGCGCCGAGCCGGCCGCGGTGCCGCGACCGGCGCCGGCGCGGGCCCCGACCGAGGCCAACCGGGCCCCGACCGAGGCCAACCGGGCCGCGACCGAGGCCGGCCGGGCCCCGACCGAGGCCGGCCGGGCCGCGCCAGCGCGAGTCACCACAGAGGTCACCGTCAAACACACCTCCTCCACTAAAGAGGCTCCGAACAAAGCGGGCTCAGGGATACGTCGCAGCTCGAGGTAACCGACTCGGTGCCAGACATTGCACCTTTTCCTTCATGTTTTGCATTATTTCGTTGCCAAGATGCATGGGGCTTAGGCTCTAAATGGTTGAGTTATGTCTTGTGCCGCTGAAAAAGACTTTGAGGTATCAAATAGCTTATTTGGCTAGTAGACATTCGCAAAAAATGATGTTTTTGCATGGGCGGCGCCTCCGTTGCTGGGGCATTTTGGAAGCATGATGTCTTCAGTGTCACAAGATGTCACGATGTTCACGGAAATTCGGTCCGTCGTCTGAACCGTGCAGCTCTTTCTTATGCGTCTTCTAAAGGCTGACATGTTCTGCATGTTTTCTTTTGTTCTGCACGTAGCCCCTTCTGAACACAAATGTGTTGGGCTTTTCACTCGAAAACTATGGCATCTTTATTGCCGAACTAATTTGGAAGCTGGTTGTGGGCTTGAAGACCCCTTTGTCAAGTATTGAGCTTTTACATATATGTTAAACTCCTCTCCTGGACCATTGTGTGTCCATGGTTGTGCGCACATTATGGTTGCCGGGGCTCATGCCTCACCCATTTTAAAATATATGGCGCGTATTCAGATGTGCGGGAATAAATGCTGCGACTCAGAAATACGAGGCAGTCACGTAAAAGAGTTAAGATTAACAACAACAACAAAAGTAAATGTAAATAAGAGCCCGGGATGTTCTTCACACCACGTGACAAATACTTATCGTCTGCGCCGCGCTGAGATGGGTTTTGAGCGAGAAATTTTTAGTTATGTCTCCCCCCTTCCCGTCGTGAAGTCCAGCACACGCTCCTGTGTGTGCTTTTTGCTATCTCACGGAGGGGATATTTCATCGAAGTGAACGTGCACACGGGACGCAATCACGTTGATGTCGCAGATGCCGTAGTCAAATTAGCATTCTGATTGTGTAAGAGGGCAGCATAACTGACCCAGTCGCTTCAGTTGCGGTAGATCCTGTCGCTGGTGACCTGGCGCTAATTTCCTTGGCCGGTTTGCTCGGCGCCCATTTCGCGCCGAGATGCCCGGCGCGAAGACCCTTCGTAATGCAGATGATGTCATCAGTGTTGTCGGTGTGTCGTCATTGGTTGCTGGTCGCGTTGCGCTGAGACATCCAACTGCGGGTTACCCTGTGCACGAAGCCCTGACCATCTCGATTATGGTAACCTGTCTATGAGTCATCGCTGAGTGCGTCACATCGCGTGCAGGCGACGGCGGTATGTTTGGCCGAGACGCGCGAGCTCTGGAGACATAACCGTTATGCAGAGTGTGAGCGTGATGAGCTATCACGCCACCCGTCACACCTGCCGGCACCAGCTCGCGATGGGTGTCTGGGACGCTCGAGGAGCGTGCGCCGCGCCTTATTTCTCTCCAAGGCACCGACGTGCAACCGAGCACCCACCTGCTGTCGTTACGCTTGAGGACCGCCGAAAACAGGCTCGGGTGATAGCCGTGTTTTGCAATGTCGGGTGTGCTTGACTGTCGCTGAATTGCCCAACAGCTGGATTCGTGGCTGAAGGCAGTGGCGGAACCTCTGTGGAGATGGGGATGGGTGCAATGGCGATTTTACCTCTTTTCTTTACTTGCACCATCAAGGGGTTAGCAGAAGATATTGCTCGCAGTTGGCTCCAGGGCAGGTCTCTCCCCCGCTGATCCACCGCCGCTGGATTGATGGTGGTGGGCGTGTATGCGTGAGGAGCGTGCAGGGCGCGCGTGCAGCGGCTGTCCTCCGAGTGACTGGATAAACGAGCTGATTAGGGCTATTGATGGCTGCGAGGATGACAGCCGATTTGAAACGGCTGTGGGGTCTGGCGGCTGCTTTCAGGCCAGGCGCATTGCGCTGGTGCCTGCTTCAATACCTTGGAATACGAGACATTCCGTTTAAAGGGAGTGTTCCTTATTTGCACGGGGTTTCGAACCGGGACAGCCATCTTGATTTTCATTCGGTGTATTTTACAGCCCTGCTCTTCATAAGACTTAAACCCGTCCAGTTTCTGAGCCACATGCTCGCGGAGATGGGGAGATTATATCGGGGAGAGTATATCAGGTCACCTTGGCATTCATGATGTCATAATAGAGCCATTCAAATCCTGCCATTCCATAAGCCATGCGGAGATCAAGGCCAAGACAAATATAATGTTCGAGTCGCTAATATCTGACTTTCGTGAGCCCGACTTCCAGATATAAGGGCCGGCCGCACGTTGCAATGACGTAACCAAACAATGATGTGGCGGGGAGGATATTTATTTAACATAGAAACCGTGTTGTCTAGTGCAGTTTTTCGACTTATATCAATAGTTATAAGTGTGCTTCAACATGTCTGATGCTTGCTTCAGTATCTTCAAATATGGAACAGTCCCTTCATACCATGACAAGTTTCTCTTCGCGACCGTATTCGATGAAAAGTGCGTAATTTAAGTTGATTACGTCGGACAAATAGCTGGGCCATTTTCAGTTTTGCCTTTCCGCGGTGAGCGTGCCGGCCGTATAGACACGGTGGTGGCTTCTGGGTGTGCGGTGTCGTACTGCGGGAACTTGTAACGCTGCGGAGGCGACACTTGACTGCGTTTGCCCGGCTTCTGTCGACGGGAGCGAGCGGTGGCCTTGTTCGCGGCTGTGCCGCCACCTGTGTCGCGCCCTGCGCTACCGGCATGCCACTTTGGCCACCACTCGCTTTCATCGCTCCCGCGTGCTGGTCACAGACCTGAGTTCGGCCTTTGGACGCGTCGCGACGCAGTTCCGTACAGGCTGCGTTGAAACAATCACGCAGGCCCGCCTGGCCGCATACCGTCACACTGAAATGGATAGGCGGTCCACGGTAGGCCCCGTGAACTCGTGAGCCCCTGACCGGGGGAGGGGACTCGCGGTGTCAGGTGCCGCCTGGTCAGTGTGGCTTCCACGCAACGTCGTCCCCAGTTTGTTGCGACTTGTAAGCGGTAAGTGGGAATATGCAGCGGGCCAGACAGACAGAGGAGGTGACAATTTCAAACTGAAATGAAGGAGACGATCGCCCATGAGTTGAGACAAACGAGGACGGACGTGTCCAAATTCGATAACTCTGCGCCTCCTCCAGCGACCCTGTGAAGAGTGGCATCAAAGGTTCAGCCAACTCTGAGCATGACTTCTGGCCTGCCCCGGTGCGGCTTAGAATGAACAACACGACGGCGTCTAGTCGTGAGACGAGACAAACGAGATGCGAATGGATAACTGTGGAGAGGATAATTGTGCGTCTGTTTGCACCTGTGCGTGGCGACATCATCTCAGACCTCGCATGAGCTGCTGTAAGTCGTCAGAGGCGACAGGCTTATTTGTGTACTTGTGCTAACTGATGTGAGGGTCATGGTTTGAAGGTAGAGGTGTAAGCGAATGTTTTTTATCCGAGCACTTTACAAAAAGTGGAGCAGAGCGCCGAATCGTCACGGCTATCATGCTTCCCAGGCAATAACCGCAGTCCGATCACAGCGTCATGAGGAATAAAGGCGTTGCAATGCCAAAGCTATGTTGGAAAAGTTTCTACAGAGGCGGTTGGAGGTGTACGCAGATCACTTTTGCAATGCATTGCGTCATCTTTTTTCTGTTGTACGGTTCGGCCGAAGATGCAAAGGTTGTCCGCTGATTGATTGTCCCCCTATATAAACACTCAAGGTGCAAAAAGCCGCCAGATTTGGGATAAAGGTGTCCTTCGGCCCTCCAGTGGGATAAGGTGAAGCTCACTCCCGGCCAGAACCGGAGGGGCGTACCAGGGCACGACCCCCACCCCCATTAAGAAATTTATTGGGGCGTAAGTATTAATATCAGAGATGTAACCAGGGCCCAAAAAAAGATGCCAGGATATCGTTAACTTAGAACGCTATGGGATCCTGGATCCGCTCTTGGGATTCAGGCACATGCCTGATATCAATGTGCTTGCGGATATATTTCGACCGCAAATGTACGGAAAAATCAGTGTGGACGTTTAGAAATAAGGGGATTCAAAGCATGTGACGATGTTATGCGTCTTGCAAGAAATTTCGCTCGCCTGCGGCGCCCTGACACTGTTTCGTCAGTAAAACGTCTGGAGTTGTATCCCCTTATTACTATACTGAGGGCTGCAGAAGCACAGGCGACATAACCGAAGGGTCTCGATGTCGCGTACCGAGTATAAGGATGGAGATACACTCATCACTTTCATCAGCAGAGTCAGCCAGTGCGTTTTGAGTGATGTGTGTCCATGTGATGAAAGCCCAGTGTCCACGCTAATAAAGAGTTTATCGAATAGACCAACGGTATCGAGAACACGTCTCAGCCAGACTACATCAGCAGAACATCTGCTGACATCAGCGCCAGCGTTACGACACTGTCCCAGTCATGGTTGTGGGAGGAGGGGGATGGGGGTGGGGTGGGGGGGGGGGGGGGGGGGGGGGGGCGAGGGGATGGCGGAGCGCGAGACGAGCAAGGACAGACGGAGTCGAGCAGGGTCGCGGGCAGGCTACAAGACGAGCGCAGTTGGGAAGGTCTCGCAGATCAAGTACTACGGTAGGAGATAAGCGTACGAAGCGATGGAAACGAGGCCGCATGTAGTGGAAGGGTGACATTCATAGGAAAGCGGGTGCACAGGTGAAATAAGGGAGTGCTTTCGGGAGTGACGAATGAAAGGGGTATGTTCGAGAGTCGTGACGAACGGGTGAAGGGAGGCCGGCCCGCCATGGGATGAGCATGAATCGCTGTGGTACTTACAACGATAATTATGATGCATTGGGCAAACGAACGCCAAAACTGTTGCACGGATCATACTCTAGTGATTGGTACCAAGATAACGAACGACACATGCTGCACTGAAGGGAGGGGTGCCTATTGGGACAGTGCCATCATACACAAACGGCCTTCCAGGCGTGGGTGCGGGACTACCACAACACATGGACGGCGTTCCGGGCGTGGGTGAGGGACCACCACAACACATAGACGGCGTTCCGGGTGTGGCGAGGGACTACCACAACACATGGACAGCGTTCCGGACG